GGATGAACAGTTATACCCGGACACCTGTAAACACTGTTTGGTTCAGTGCTATACTTGCAACACTGTTGGGCCTTCTCGTGTTTGCAGGTGCTCAGGCGATAAATGCAGTCTTCTCAATTTCGGTAACTGCATCATATGTGGCTTATTCGATACCGATAATCGCTCGCTTTGTCTTCGAGAATAACTTTAAGCCCGGGCCATTCAATCTCGGATTCTTCGTACGTCTTTTCCTGGGCCTTTCTCATTGCGTAACCTATCCGTTTAGACATGATATGATCTGACGAAAGCTTACGTAGAGCTTACCTTGTGCAATAATCTCCGTCCTCTGGATGGCTTTCATGTTCCTCGTCTTCCTGTTCCCCACAAACCCAGCACCTGCCAGTGCAGGAGACATGAATTACTCTGTCGTTGTTCTCGGCAGTATCATGCTCTTCTCGATATTGTACTATTATTTCCCAAAGTATGGTGGGGTGTATTGGTTTAAGGGACCTGTGAGGACCGTTGGGGATCTGAACTCGGCTGGAAAGCAGAGAGATGCGAGAGAGCTCGATGAAACCGGGGAGGCTAGGAACAGTGAAGAGAAGAAGGAGCGCGGGGAGAAGGAGAGTGTCAATGTTGAGTCGACTGAATCAGCGACTTGAATAATACACGCTCGGATGCATTCGGGAAATTTCGAGCGTAGATGCGTAAAGTACAGGATAGAATTCTTCAAGAAGGTAAGAAGGTCAAGAAAGAGAACTACAGAACAAAAATAGCTGGTTTAGACTATTTTTAAAGTATTTACATAAGTACATGAGTGACACTCAGACAAGACAGTGGTAAATAAAAAAACGATGAGGACACATGAGCATCACCTTGCCGGAACAGAATTGAGTTGGTTGCATTGCCTTCAGGTATTTTATGCAATAGACTGACTGCAGTCAAACCTGGCTGCAAAAATGGACAGGCAATGGGCATCACGTCCTCACCACGGACAAACTTCCATAGTCCGTGCTATTTGCGTCTACTTAGTACGCATCTTCCGACGTTTGTCGCGTGACCACCTTATCTCTTCTTCCTGATGCCCGTCACACGCGCTTTTTCAAGGAAGTTCAATGAGCCAGGTTTATAATTGCCCGTCTACATTCAGCTTCATTCAATTTCATTGGGTTACAGTCCCTTCCGGGCCGGTTCCAAAGGGCAGTGATATGACTTGTTGCTCTCCTGTATTCAATGTTATCGGGAGAGAGAAGAGAATGCAGGGTTGGTGTCTAACACCTGTTCTTTCTTCCACCACTTTCTCCCTGCTGGAAGGGCTTGGCTTGGATAGGATCAAAGTTGTCAACCATGTCAGACTCAAATGTAAACTCGCCCAACTTGAAGGACCAAAATGCCAATCCGGATGAGCAACTACTTGCTAGTCTCGGATACAAGCAGGAATTTTTGAGAGCATTCACACCAATAGAGGTGACTTGTGATTTTGTTCAGTATCCCGTCTGCATGTCGGGCTGAAATAAACTCAGGTTTTTGGTGTTGCATTCAGTATTATTGGTCTTTTACCTTCCATGGCGTGAGTGAAGTCGCCTCGTCGTTGTTCAGGTGCACCGGCTAATCATGCTTGCAGCTCAGTTCTGTTCTATGCGATCCCAAATGGTGGACCTTCTGCAATGGTTTGGGGTGTACGTTCCACTAATATTTCATATCAGCTCCTTATGACATCATTCTAATATTTTGCATAACGCAAATTGAAGTGGGCGGTCGCGAGTCTATTTATTTTATTTGTTGGCATGTCCATGAGTGAACTCGGATCGGCTGCACCTACCTCTGGCGGAGTTAGTTTCTGCATAAGTTCCGGAAAGACGATTATAGTACTAAATGTGTTTATCACACAGCTGTATTTCTGGACGCATTCATTTTCTTCACCGCGATGGCGTAACTTCCTTGCATGGATAGTTGGGTGTAAGTTTCATCTTCGGGCTACCTACAAAACATAGCACACTGCTTACTGATAAAACGTTCCAGATGCAAATACCATTGGTACGGTTTCTGCTGTAGCTTCAGTCAACTGGGGCTGTGCCGTCCAAGTAATGGCTGCTGCAAGCATCGGGACAAACCAGAATTTCGTAGCAACGGATGTTGAAACCTTGTTTGTCACTTCAGCTTACTGTAAGCGCTACAACAAAGTTCTACTCACTGCTATCGGTCCTGTCATTGTCTAGCGGCGTATATTGCTTGATTATGGTTACCTGCGCAATCATTTGTTGTCTGGCGACGAAAGTCATTGCACGCTTGCAGACTGCTTATATCATTTTCAACGTCTTGTGAGTTTGTTTGTTTTTTTTGGCTAAGTATCAGTCGTTGAACTTGACTTATCAACATATTTTCCAACCTTCTTGAAAGATTATGTCTTGCTGTTATTATTGCGCTTCCTGCAGCTACTCCGGACGATCTAATGAATGATGCGAAGTTTGCACTCACAGACTTCACGAATAGTACGCCTTTCTTTGCTAATATGTGAATCGACCGTTGATTCTGGCACTAGCAACGACTTGGCCAGCCGGTTTCGCCTTCTGCCTCAGCTTTCTTGCACCTCTATGGACTATTTGTATTGTCTCTTTCTCTTTCTCCGATCAATACTATTATGACATTCTCTACTCGACAGTGTCTTTCGATTCAGCTGTGCACATCAGCGAAGAAGCCTCAAACGCCGCAATTGCTGTACCGTGGGCAATTGTCGGCTCTATCTTCGTGGCGGGTGTGCTTGGTTGGGCCATCAACATCGCGCTCGCGTTCTGCATGGGCACAGATCTGGACGCGATCATGAATAACGAAATTGGTCAGCCAATGGCGACAATATTTTTTAATAGCTTTGGACAGCGAGGAACGCTGGCATTGTGGGCCTTTGTTGTGATTGTTCAATTCTTTATGGGCACATCGTAAGACTTCCTATCGTTTCAATGTCCATTATTTCGAGATTGGATGCCGACAGTCAATTTCGTATAGCATGCTTCTTGCGTCCAGCCGTCAAGTCTTTGCATTCTCTCGAGATGGTGCTCTACCCTTCTCGAGAATTCTATACCGGATGAACAGTTATACCCGGACACCTGTAAACACTGTTTGGTTCAGTGCTATACTTGCAACACTGTTGGGCCTTCTCGTGTTTGCAGGTGCTCAGGCGATAAATGCAGTCTTCTCAATTTCGGTAACTGCATCATATGTGGCTTATTCGATACCGATAATCGCTCGCTTTGTCTTCGAGAATAACTTTAAGCCCGGGCCATTCAATCTCGGATTCTTCGTACGTCTTTTCCTGGGCCTTTCTCATTGCGTAACCTATCCGTTTAGACATGATATGATCTGACGAAAGCTTACGTAGAGCTTACCTTGTGCAATAATCTCCGTCCTCTGGATGGCTTTCATGTTCCTCGTCTTCCTGTTCCCCACAAACCCAGCACCTGCCAGTGCAGGAGACATGAATTACTCTGTCGTTGTTCTCGGCAGTATCATGCTCTTCTCGATATTGTACTATTATTTCCCAAAGTATGGTGGGGTGTATTGGTTTAAGGGACCTGTGAGGACCGTTGGGGATCTGAACTCGGCTGGAAAGCAGAGAGATGCGAGAGAGCTCGATGAAACCGGGGAGGCTAGGAACAGTGAAGAGAAGAAGGAGCGCGGGGAGAAGGAGAGTGTCAATGTTGAGTCGACTGAATCAGCGACTTGAATAATACACGCTCGGATGCATTCGGGAAATTTCGAGCGTAGATGCGTAAAGTACAGGATAGAATTCTTCAAGAAGGTAAGAAGGTCAAGAAAGAGAACTACAGAACAAAAATAGCTGGTTTAGACTATTTTTAAAGTATTTACATAAGTACATGAGTGACACTCAGACAAGACAGTGGTAAATAA